CTACGAGATCGACTCCAACGCGGTGGAGGACCGGTGCGGCGTCTGCCACGGGGACGGCTCCACCTGCCACACCGTCAAGAAGACCTTCGAGGACAGTGAAGGGCTCGGTAAGGGCGCTCGGCTCCGTCCCCAAAACACCAGGTCCCCGTTGCACCCGGAGCCAGGCTCGCTGCTGCTGCTGCTCATTCGCAGTGTGGGTTTTAATCCCAACTTATCGATTCGGATGGGGTGAGACCCAAGCGGCAGCACGGGGAGATGTGGCGTTGGTGTTCCGCTTCTTGCTCCCTAGAAGGAAAATATCCCCTTACTTCCCTTTGCATCTAAAGGCCTGAGAACAGATCTGTGCACTCTGGAGCCAGTTTGGAGAGGTTTAAAGGGATTTTGTGCGTTGACAAGGACATGTTGGGAGTGTAGGAAATGCCGTGCCAGCGCCCGTGCAGGAAACGCCTGGCTCTGCGATGGGCTCTCCCAGCAGGGAACGCAGCTGGGCTCAGTGCCAGGCAGGTTTGGTGCCTGCTGGTGCCTTACAGAGGTGTAGGGATTGGCATGACGCTGGCACCCGAGGGACACTAGCACCCACCCCAGGGCACAGATCATCTCTGCCACATCTTTGACTTCCCCCAGGGCCAATGCTCTGTTCTGTTCCCAGGTTACGTCGATATTGGGATTATCCCCGTGGGAGCCCGGGAGATCCGGATTGAAGAAGTCGCAGAAGCCGGGAATTTTCTGGCGCTGCGGAGCGAGGACCCGGAGAAGTATTTCCTCAACGGTGGCTGGACCATCCAGTGGAACGGGGACTACAGGGTGGCGGGGACCACCTTCACCTACAGGAGGATGGGGAACTGGGAGAACCTCACCTCCCCGGGGCCCACCGTGGAGCCCGTGTGGATTCAGGTACAGTCCAGGCGCTGCTGGTGGCCGGGGGGTGTGGTGGGGAGGACGGAGGGGGCCAGAGCCGCCGGCTCTCCTGCCTTCCCGTGTGGGGCTGAGCTGCCGTGGTCTCTCACGGCACTTCCCTGCTGTCCGAGGGAGGGGGCCACGGGTCGCTGGGAAGCCACCGATGGGAGCAGCCGAGCGCGCATGGCTGGCCCTAGGAGCACGTCTCCAGCCCACGCCGCTTCCAGCTGAGCCTTGTCCCCTTTGCAGCATTCCTCAAAATATTTACACAGCAGGGAGAGCGTGAGGAGAAAGAGCCCCTTTCCTGAGGCCTTTCCCATATCTTATCAAGAGCCAGGGAAGAGCCCACGGTGCTCCTGGCAGGGCTGGAGCAGCTGGCGGAGGCAGTGGGATCTGGGAGCCGTGGTGGTGGCAGAGGGTGGCCCACCAGCACCCCTCGGCAGGGCCACGTTCCCGCTAGCACCGTGGCGAGGAGCTCAGCCCGTGGGGTCCTGCTCTGTGGTCCAGACCCAGGTGATGCCACCCAGGGTGCTGCAGGTCAGGCTCCGCGTCCTCGCAAAAGCATTTGAAGCAGATGGTAAAGATCCAAAAGGAATATTTGAAATCCTCTGAAACAACTAGGAATTTCAAGTTTTACTGGTTTTGCATGTGGGAATTTCCATAAAGCTACTTCCCTCCCCAGAATATGTCATTATCATTCATCAGACCCCTGAGGCTTTGAGGAGGTGAGCCCCATCAGGGAGCGATGCTGCCTGGTGTCAGTCACAGCTCCCAGGGCAGGGGAGGGCACCCAGGACCACTCTGCCTGCCCGGGTCTGGGCAGGAGAGGTTACGATTAACCACATAGTCCAAAAACCAAAAACAAAACCCCCAAAAACACCCAAAACAAAACCCTTTTAAAAAAAATTGCCTTGCAGCAGTGTGTTTCCAGGATGGCAGAGGTGCAGACAGGAGCATCTGCCCAAACCCTGCTCCCGCCAGGCGTTGCCTCCAGCCTTTGTGCCGAGCAGAGCGTGGGGGAGCAGACTTAGCAGATCATGAACTTGGGGGTTAGTTATTTCTACACGACCTGCTCACCCTAATGGTCCTTTCACCTCTGGGTCGGCAGGAGAGTCTTGGTCTTTGCCCCAGCAATGGGAGCACAAGTTGCTTCCCCAATGCCCAGGGACTGGTCCTGCTCCGAGCCCCCGGCCGCTGCCCCTGCTCCCCAGCAAGCCCCTTCTCGAGCTCTCCCATCCTGCAATCACTTTTCATAGGAGCCCAACTTGACCTTCGCTAATCCCCTCCTCCGCTGCGGCAGCTGCAGCTCTGGGGCTTGTCTGGAAATGGCCTTATTTCGCAAACCAACCCCACTCTATTAATTTTCGCCTTGTTTCCATGGAAAAGAGTTGCTTGGGGGATTACTTTTCAGCATGGCTTTCTGTTTCACTGAGCTGCGCGGGGGGTTGTAGCTGTCGGCGGGGAGGGCGGTGGAACGGCAGCGTGGTGTGGGGCGCTCAGGGCTGTCCCTGCCGGACGGCTCTCTCAGGAGCTGGGAGCTGCCGCTGCCGTGCCCGGCTCTGCAATTCCTGCCGCTGGGAACGGCCGCCGAGATGGTCAGGAGCGGGGGATCTGCTGGTTAATGCAAAGCTGAGGCCAACGGGATGGAATTGCCCCCTGGCCCCGGCAGTTGTGGCTCAACACTCTTCCCGAGCATCAGCCTCTTTGCAGAGGCTCACCCTGGAGCCCAGCCACGCCGAGCGGCCAAAGCCGTCGCCTTCTGCGTTTCTTTCAGCAGAGGCTCAGGATGAAACGCCAGCGGGATCCTGGGCTCGTCTGCCGCCAAGTGCTGCTGTTCATGGGAACGCTGGCGTGCTCGGCACCCACAAATCATTTTCTGGGATTTGTAACCTAATTTAAAACCTTTTGACAAAAATGTTTCAATAGTCATGAAGGGGTTTTGGAAAGACGCCCTCGCTCCCACCAAAGCTCCAAGAACAACAAAGCTTTGGCAATAATGGGAGCACTTAGGCTAAGAAAAACAAGGCTGAACTCCCAGCCTTTGCCGAGCGCTGGTGCGGGAGGTGCTTTGGGCAGGATTTGTGTCAACCGCGGGAGCCGCTTCGTGCGCGTTGAGAGCAGCAGGAGCCCGTTTCAAGCGGGGAGAAATTAAGGAAATTCCTCCAGGCGCGCGTCACCACCAGCCATCGCTGGCGTTTGCTGCCGGCAGCTCCCTCCCGTTTGCCGCAGCCCCTCCGTCCACCGCACGAGTGGGGTGTCACACCGGGGTGGGTGCACCCTCAGCCGCGGGGCTCAGGGCACGGCAGGCAGCGGCCCCGCCGCAGTGGAGCCACTCTCCCGGTGCCACCCGGGGCACGTTGGTGGCGGGTTGGAGGTGCCAACAGGAACCGGCACGGGTAGCCGGCATCTTGAGCCGAGGTGTGCTGCGGTGCTTCCCCAGGCAGTCGCTGGAGCGGTTGCAGCTCTCTGGGCCATGCAGAGGCGAGGGGATTTGATTCCTCCTTTGCGGGGCTGGACTCCTGGTGCTGTCCCCTTCCCTTCCTTCTGCCACCATCCCAAAGGGGCGGGTTGGAGGTGCCAACAGGAACCGGCACGGGTAGCCGGCATCTTGAGCCGAGGTGTGCTGCGGTGCTTCCCCAGGCAGTCGCTGGAGCGGTTGCAGCTCTCTGGGCCATGCAGAGGCGAGGGGATTTGATTCCTCCTTTGCGGGGCTGGACTCCTGGTGCTGTCCCCTTCCCTTCCTTCTGCCACCATCCCAAAGGACAGGTCACTGCGACTGATGTTCACCTGAGCATCCGTCTGTCCGGGCCAGCCACCACCGTCGGTCTGGCAGATGGGGCTGGGAGCAGTCAGAGCCTCCCTCCAGCCGTAACATCCCTCGCTGAGCGTTCGGGACGAGGGAGGGAGGGAGGCAGACCTTGCTCCCGACCGGCAGGAGGGTCGTTCCTGCCTGCCCCGTGTGCTGCAG